TTCCAAACCAACCTCTTTTTTTTCAAAATCCAGTTCCCGGCTGGTATTCGGTTCTCGACTAAACCTCTTTTCTTTAGGATCTAGTTCCTGACTGGAATTCGGTTCCGACCAACCTCTTTTTCTTTTTAAATCTAGTTCCTGGTTGGCATACATTTCCCTTTCCTTTCCCCACATAGTGCAAATTTCTTGGTTCTTTTTGTATTCAATCCCCTTATACCTTGAATGTATAAAAGCTGTTACTTTTCATATCTTCAGGTTTAAGTCGATTGAACAGGGGCAGCTGTTGTACCTTAAAATTTTCCTTCTTGTTGCTAACCCTAACTGGCTTGTGTTTCACTTTCATATGCATTTCCATCAGGTTATGACATCACAATTATTCTTTTGGATGAGCTCCCAAGAAATGGGATCAAGAGTTTTCTTGTGATTTGGGTTTTCCCTATTCAGAGGTGATTCATTTGGTTATTTCACTCAAATTGTGGCAAAGGTTTAACTTTTATCATCATGAGCATCTTCACTCAAGACTTATTAGAATACATTATCATCTTCTTCAAGATTCCTCAATGTCATCAAGTACTTAGCGTTTCGTCATTGATTCAACTGCCAACTCAAGTCAATTCATCATTATCAATGTTCTTGGAGAATTAGGGTTTCATAGTACTTTAGGGTTTCACTCTTTTGCAGGTTTGGCTCATTGGAAAATGCATAGATCAATTATTAGGGTTTTCCCCCCCATGTTTATGCCCATCAGATGGATCCTTAGGGTTTTGGCTATGCAACCATCAAGAACATCATCTTATTATACTTCTATTACTTGGTTAGGGTTTATTTCCTTGATTAAGTGGTCTTCAAGAAGTTCACTTGTAAAGACTATTCATTGGTGCATCTAGTCCATTCAAGTCTCATCAAGGCTTGAGATACAGGTTATTGAGGAAGTCTTGATGTGCTTATCCGATTAGGGTTTGGATTCAAGACATCTCCTAGAGGTAGAAGTTAAAGGAGGTCCACGTGTCATAACAAGTTCATGTTCAGAAAAGCTTCATTCGTGGCCAAGTCTCGTGTTCTTGCCTAGGTGCATTGTATGTTATTTGGTTATGAGTTTAGTCAAGCTCATTCAATAATGATTCAAATGGTGAACGATAAAAGCAAGCTCATTATATGTGATTCAAGGCCTCATGTCTACAACAATTGCAAGTTCAATTCAATTTTTAGGTGGACTCATGAATGATGTCAAATGAGTTTCATTCAAGTTAAATTATATTCAAGAAGAATTCAAAGGTTCAAAGGAGGGAAATGTTACTTGGAATACAAGTTATCATCACAATACCATTCAAAAGTCAAATTTCATTCAAGATATCCAAAAGTGTATTACAAAAGAATTCAATTAAAAACTACAATAAGAAAACAAAGTCATAAAAACAAGTTAGCATGAAAAAATCTTCCAAGAATAGTGCTTCTATGCCTATTATGCAGAAGTGCAGTTTGTGCAGCATGGAAACAAAGTCATCAAAACTATTAGCCTAGTTTAAGATTGCTCCAATTACTTCAAATTCAAAAATGTTCATCTCCATAAAATAAGAGTCAGTGGAGGATCAATATATGTAGCATCAAGACCTGTCCAAACCAAATACCATACCGGTTCTCCTTTGTGATCATCGACACCAGATATGGCCATATGAAGCGATAAAACAAGCTGCAACCTGCCAGTTTTAAACAATTCCAAACGTGAGCTAACCGTAAATGGGAATCAAAAGCACACACGAAAAAAGAAAAGAAAACAACGCCGAATAAATAATTCAAAATAAACAGGTGCAAGTTCAAACCAATTCAGTGATAATGATTATGGCCTCCCACAGGGTAAATCTGTATTTTAAGAAGAAAAATGGGCAACTGCGAGTGCTTCTAGAGTTGAAATCCTTCCGATGAATGGTCCATAATCTGACTCATCACCTGTTCACAAACTTCTCACTCTTACTAGTTGTAGTCTCCTCAAAAAATCAATTCATATGTTGCAATATCACTTTTCTCTTAATGGAGTCTCTGAAACTGAAGAAGCGTTTAAATCTATTCAAATCCATTTTCACCAAAATTGCACTTGCTAGTGAATGTAAAGCTGCAGAGAACAAGGTAATTACGCGGTAAGTTGATACGCGAATCTAAGAATAACGTGTTACATAAATGAATTATGAGCAAAACAAAAAGGGAAACTCATTAATCACAATCATCAATTGACAATCACCCAAAATCACATTAAGGCACATTACACTACCTTTTTTTTTTCCTTCTTTCTTTCAATTCCTAGTTTAATTAACATTAGCCTTGCATTACTAATAGTTCATCCATGACAGTTGTGTTCAAACTAACTAACAATACATTCAGCATAATTAGCCGTCGCGATTTTTCAATTCCCCCAAACCAAATTCAAAACTAATAGTCACGCTAGATCACAATAAACATTCGAAACATTCAAGTTACAAAATTGCTCAACAAAAACTCAACAAACTTCAACTAACATGTTCCAATCTAACTTCACTAACTATAAACCAAGTGCATCCGCTCATAAAATAGGAAGTATCCAATTAACTAACCTACAATCCATCCATTTTAACACTTACAACAATTCTTCAATTAAACATAACCAAGGCATTAATGAACTAACATTTAGACTCTGGTAACAATATCTACTTTATATCAACTTGCACTTCAAACATGTTTGACAACAATTCAATGTACATAGTAGTGCAATTGCTACACCCGTATCCTTCTAACATAATTAAACACAGTTCAAACTTCAATCAAGGTCCTAACCTTTTAATTTGCTTCAGTTTAGCTCATTTTCAAATTTCAATATCACCTTCACTAATAACTAATTAGTTATAACATCCATTTCTTTTAACTCATCTGACTCACTAATCAATTCCAAACTGTCAAAACTAACAAAATTTTGAAACTAATTGCATTTCAATCACTTAACTGTCACAACAGATTTTTTTGCAACTAACTCAACCACATAACTAACTAATTGCACCATAACAACTCTCCTAACATAATTCATAATTAACTTTTACATTGAATTACCAAGCTACCCTCATCCTTCTCCCTCTATAAATTAGAATCTCTACCCCATAATTTCACACGCTATCATTTTCATCAAGTTCTTCACTACTCTCTCTTCCTCTCTCTCATAATCACACAAACTCACGCAAAACTCTTTTCTCCAACTCCCATTGGAGTGAGCTTAACCTCCTCTCAACCTCAGCAATACAACGCACAACAACCAAAAACCAAATGCTTGATCTAACGTCAAGCCTTTTTCCTAATAAAAACCAAAAATACTTATTCATTGTTTAACACTCTTCAATAAATAAAATGGAAAAAAAACGTGGTGTAATCCAAGAATTCTTGAAAATTTGAATCCGAATTTACGCTGATACATTTTCTCTTAGGTTCCATTTAAGGATGATGATGAAGAATTTATCTAGTATATTTTCTCTTAACTTTTAGTGAAATGATTATGGTTAAAAGTAAGATAAAATACAAATTAACTTATATTTAAATACTACAAAAATAAATTAAATAGTAAATTTTAGTATATAAATTATAATTAAATTTAAAAACTATAAATTAAATCTTTTAACAATAATTCCTTTTAAAGGTATAATCAGTTATATTTTAGAAGAACTAAATATTTTAAAACAATTTTTACACATTTAAAATTGTGATTGCCTATTCCAAAATGAAAACAAAATATAAATTTAATCTTATTTTTTTATTCGAAGGACTAAATAGTATATATATATATATATATATATATATATATATATATATATATATATATATATATATATATATATATATATATATATATATATATATATATATATATATATATATATATATATATATATATATTTAAATGAACGACTAAAACTAAGTAGAATAATCTTTTTACAGAAAATATAAACATATTTAATCATAATTTTAAGACAAATTATGTTCAAAAACACAAAAACTAAATCTCAATTTAAAATTCATTATCAAATAAAACATATATTGATCTCCTTTAAGTTATTTACAAAGTGGAAAATATTTAATTTTTTCATTAACACATTATAAGAAAATTAACATGTACAAAGAAAGAACCATAAATAAATGTTATATATATATTTAAAAAATATATCCATCACACAAAATTTCGCTGATTAATATCAATTTTTTAATTAATAATAAAGTTCACATTTTAAAAATAAATAATTAAAATATTATGGATTCAAATTCGCACATCTATATATAATATTTTAATAGAATTATACATTAAATAGATTTAATGTATATTTTAAAATTAAATGATTTTTTTTTATAATGTCATTACAGAAGACATTAGATAGGAAGATGAGATAATTTTTCATTTTAAACATTTAAAGCCACTTTGATTTCTATATGTTTTTTACAAAATTATATCCTAAGATTTCTTTTGACTCAAAGATAAATCCTAAGACAAAATGGAATTCAAACCCTTTTTATTGGTAATGATTCAAACACATTTTACTTTATCCAACTTATTCTTTTCTTAGAGGTAAGAAATACATTCAAAACAAATTTTTATGGCATATTCACCTTTCTCACATTAAATAATAGTAATAATTAGAAAAAAAAAATATGGGTATTTTATTTTTCTTGTTGACGCAACGTTCTTTTTAATTTTAATAATAATTAGTCACAATGACGCGTACCAACCAATCAAACTCGCACAACTGGAATTTCTTCACAATAACCGGCTAAGCCAGTCTCACCCTTGCTCGCATCAGCAATTTTGTCGGTTTCCGTACCCACACTCTTTGTATAATTCACCGGCCAAACCGGTAACAAGTCTTGATTCACCCTCTACTATAAAAAAATAAGTTAAGACAAAAAAATTAGAAAAGAAAAAGAAGAGTGAGTGTTTCTTCTCCGGTTGTAGCTCCGGCAACCGTGACGGCGACGGGAAATCTCCGTTGAGTAAAATGTTTCTGTTTGATTGGTTCTATGGAATTCTTGCTACGCTTGGTTTGTGGCAAAAAGAGGCGAAGATTTTGTTTCTAGGGTTAGATAATGCTGGGAAAACTACGTTGCTTCACATGCTTAAAGATGAGGTTTGTATTTGATTTTACTTTGCTTTTGTGATGTTTTGATTGTAGGATTGTTGTTGATGAGAAATTGAAATGTTGCAGAGATTAGCACAGCATCAACCAACTCAACATCCAACATCGGAGGAATTGAGTATTGGGAAGATTAAGTTTAAAGCTTTTGATTTGGGTGGGCATCAGATTGCTCGTAGGGTTTGGAGTGATTATTATGCTCAGGTTTGTTTTGTGCATTTTATTTATGTTGATTTAGAACTTGGAATTGTTAGGTGGTTTTGATTTGATCTTTGAAATTGAAGAAACTCTGATTAATTTGGCATTACTGTATAGTTTGATTAATGTCTTTTGTATAGTTTTCCTTTTCAAAAGCCTTGTGCTTATGCTAATGCTTGGCTTCATGGCTGCCTACGAAGTATTATCTCTATAAAGCTTATGTTTGGATATACTATGAAAATTGATTTTGAATGAATTGATCTTGAAATTTTGATTTTGGTTAAAAGTGAGTTGAAGCTTGAGTGATTTATGTTTGGACACATTCATTCAAAAAGTGAGTTAAAACATTGAATTTGATGGTAAATTTTTTTACACTAAAGCTACAAATCCTAGCAAGGAGTAGATTTACTTTTGCAGGTTACAAATCCTAGCTTGGAGTAGCTATAATCTGCTCTACTATTTTAGACGAACCAAACAAATCAAAATTCTACAATTATTATTTTTTCCACTTCCAAAATAGAAACCAAACATACACACAGTCTCTTGGTTTTATAGGTGTAGTGTGAACTGAGCTATAAAGTCTCTATAGAAAATCTATAGGTTTTGTCGTATATTACCTCTAGAGTCTCATGGTTTTGTAGATCCAGTGTGAACTGATATATAAAGTCTCTATAGAGTCTATAGGTCTTGTCCTATACATTATCTTTAGAGTCTCATGGTTTTATTTTATAGATGAAGTGTGAACTGAGATATGATGCACGAGTATCTCTACATGTAGACACCAATAATACATTAAGTTAATGGAGTAATCGAATCTACTCACATGTAGACACCGATTCTAAATTATGCTAATGGAGAGTGGTTGAATTGAATCTACTCACATGAAGACTGATATTAATTTAAGTTAATGGAGTAATTAACCTCTTGTTGCTGTTGGTGAAGGCATGAGACTTTAGGGTGTTCTTACCTCAAGGTTTCAGGTTCAAATCTTGCTAGATGTTAACAATTTCGGAGTTGAGACAGTCCATACATAGTTTTACTTTGGCTGTAATTGGACCTCCCGCTAGTGGGTAATGGGATTGGTCCTAAGGGCGTGACACAGTTTTCGAAAAAAAAAGTTAATGGAGTAATTGAATTCAGTCGTGTGCTAGATATTTGGTATGTCTTTTAACCGTATTGTCTTTAATTTTTGTATATGGTATACAGGTGGATGCTGTAATCTATCTGGTTGATGCATATGACAAGGAAAGATTTCCGGAATCAAAGAGGGAGCTGAATGCTCTTCTTTCTGATGGGTCACTTGCAGATGTACCATTCCTTATCTTAGGAAACAAGATTGACATTCCTTATGCTGCCTCAGAGGATGAGTTACGTCATTATCTGGGCCTCACCAACTTCACTACAGGCAAGGGCAAGGTTAATCTTTCTGGCTCCAATGTCCGACCTATGGAGGTATTCATGTGTAGTATTGTCCGCAAGATGGGATATGGTGAAGGCTTTCAGTGGCTTTCTCAGTATATCAAATAGGGAAAGAAGTGTGCTCTTAGTACTTGATAGTATCAACATTAGCATTGTAGTTTGATACTTTGCTCATGTAAATTGGATAATAATACTTAAATGCTAGTTTTACTTTTCTTAGTTAGAAAACATGCATGTAGTAGGAGTTGGAAATTTTGTGTTGGGAAGTTATATCTGTTTAGCTTGAATGTTATAAATGATTGTTGGAAAAGTGTTTTTACTTTTGGTTAACAATATCCTAAAAAGTGTTCATTAGCCAAATGTTTTTGTTGAAGTAGTGTTATTTTGAAATGGTACAAGTACAACACAAAGTTATAGACAATTAGGAATCTGCCTAAATAGGAGTATAAAGTTAGATATTCAATTTACATTAATATAGAAGGGCTCATATGATTTAAGGAACTAAGTTAGCATTTTTCTGGAATGTTATATGCACTACAAACACTTAATTTAGTTTTTTTTAGCAAATGAAGTATAATTTTGTTACAAATACAATAATATCATTTACATATGATATAAATCATAATATTATTTAATTTATTTAAAATTAAAAAATTATTATCTATTATAATAAATTAAATCTAATTATGGACTATTTTTTTTACAACTTACATAACGTGTAGGATTCCATTTATAAAACCCTTTTAAATAAAACACCTATATTTTTATATTCCATGGAACATTTCCAATTCATGTTTCCTGACCAAAAGTCATGTATATTCATATTGATTTACTACTTTTGTTTCTCTATTTAATTGTGCTTCTACAATATATTAAAATTATTACACTTTAATTCTATTTTTATTACACTAACTCGATAAAAACTATGAGATCTAATTTGATTCCTATAATATTTTGATTGCTAATAAAATGAAAATAATCAATTTCTTAAGAAACATTGTAAAGATATAATTTATCATCTACCAATTATTAAATTAGAAAATTTAGTTCTAAGAGAAAAATATGTCCTTAAAATGAGATTAAAAATTTTCTATTTTATTTATTTATTTATTAATGTTATTTTTATTTTTCCCGTACCTATTTTTTTTTTAGTCTATCAATATTTTTCAAAAACTAAAATACATTATGTAGAAATTGATCTAGTCAACTATCACGGTCTAATCTTGTAAGTAAAATTATATATAGTATTTCAAGATTGTACATTGTATCAATATTCATCATAATAAAAAAGTGCCTATTTCATTCAAATTTCTCTTCTTCTATCTTTTATTCTTTTTAAATCTTTATTGTTAAAGTTCTATTTGTCTTGATCTTAAAGTGTTTGATCAATTGTTCTATAATAAAAGATTCATAATAAATTGGTGTAGTGAGGGTCGATCGATTCAACCATGGCGCCTTCAAAGTATAAGGTTGAAAAATTTATAGGCCAAAATAATTTTAACTTATGTCGATTGAAGATGTGAACATTGCTGGGTAAAAGGGGTCATGAAGAATGCTTGCAAGGTGAAACTGCTCCAGATGCAAGAAAAGGGAAAAGGTATTGAGATATGTCTCGAAGAAGAAGACAACACCTAAAATTCGGTCAAACACTTGAAGAAGATTTGTACATGATCAAATCATTGATAAATTGTCATATTTTAAACAAGCTTTATATTCATTTAATATTAAGAAAATAATATTGTTGAATCTTAATTGAATATTTTCAATAAACTGGTTGTTGGTCTAAAAAATCTACACGTGACTATTGATATTAAGTTGATGCCTTATTTCAATTGTGTGCTTTACCTATGTTTTTCTCTCATTTCAAAGAAACTGTCTTATGTAGAAAAAAATATTTATCTTGGTAAAGTTCAATTAGCCTTGAACTCAAAGGAATTGAATGAAACAAATGAGCAAAAGACTTATGAGTGGTGTAGATTTGATAGTTCAAGGGAAATAAAACAAAAACATAATGAGAAGAATAAAGGTGAATAAAGGTGTACACATGTTTGGTCTAACCTGATATCCAATTCAGTAAAATTTTAATGAAGTGGGTTCATCCACCAACTTGCAGTTTCAGAATCAAAATTGACCAAAACCAATTTTATGAGTTGAGTTGGGTTAAGTTTACAGATTGTATATAAAATAAATAAAAAAATATTTTTTTCGATAATTTTCTTTAATTCTAAAAATAATGTGACACAATTCAATACAATTGTATAATTTTTCAAAACATAAATTCAACGAGAAACACGTTATATAATATAATATTAAATAAAATTTATCCATATGTAATAACACTTAATAATAGTATCGAAATTCACAAAAACACGTCACTTTTAAAATTTCATAATTTGGAGATGATACACAAACAAATAAGTAATCACACTAGTATTAGTATTGGTCTAGTAGAAGTATTGGTGGTGAGTAAAAAATTAGCTTGTAGTCATATACTATTTTTTATTTAAAACAATAATAAATTATTAATTTTTACATAAACGGGTCCATGAGTTAAAAAATTCAAACTTAATATCCGAACCAAATCTATACGGATTGTCTATACGGGTTGTCATGAGTTAGGTTAAATGGAATATACTCGTATATGAACGAGTTTGGATAATTAATAGATTAGTTTGATTTGAATTGGTAGGTTTGCAGCTTGACCTGCATCCATGAACACCATCTAGAGAAGAAGAACTCAAAGCCACTGAAAATAATAGTAATGTGTCTAATATACGACGTTACCACTATAAAAAGGAAGGTCACATACCACAATAAGGATATTTTTGTACGCCTAGGCAGTGACTCTTCCATGTCAAATAGTCTTCCAGTTGAGATTTACGGTTCCGAGTTAGATTCTAATTGCGAGAAGGAGGAACTGAACTCCGATTGTGATGGCGACTGCCTAATAAGAATGGAGAATAGGGTAGGAATGGAAAGGGATAACGGCGGATAGTGAGCTGGATCCCCAGGGTCGCTTGGGAGCATCTTCTTGCTCCTGAGGATCATTATTTGATTTCATGGAATCTAAGGTTCTGAAAGAACGTAGTAAGTGGTTAACTTTGTTTACTCGCTCGTTAGAGGAAGTGAACGGTTGGCTCGAAGAGGGAAGAGATGCGCCGGGCACACTCAAAGAGTTTTTATGAATCATTTATATCATAAGTTGTTATATGGTCCAGTGATTGAGATTTTTTATATTTGCTCAAAAGTGACGAGTTCGAAAATACATGTTTCAAGCGTCAATATATATATATATATATATATATATATATATATATATATATATATATATATATATATATATATATATATATATATATATATATATATATATATATATATATATATATATATATATATATATATATATATATATATATATATATATATATATATATATATATATATATATATATATAAAAGTCATTCTTTTATCTTTCTAGTGCACGAGAATAAGCGAAGGAACTTTATTCCGTAAAATATCATTGATCGATATGCTTAATGTGAATGTGCGATTCACGTTAAGGTTTCCAAAGTATCCTGAAGGGGATTCACCAGATAATCCATTTGCATATAATTTTTATAGATTAGCGGGGGCGAATCGAACCCTAAAGCTTAGTGTAAACACATTGATCTTACCGAACGATCATAATCTAAGATGGGCCAAAGACGAACGTCTGCGATGCTGGGTGTAAAAGAGGAGGAGGGGGTGTACCTGCAAGGCACACTGATGCTAAAGTAAGAAAACAAGCAAGAGATCGAGCAAGTACAAAATGTGTGTGTTTCAGGGCAAGAAATTGGATACCTGACCCTCTCAAGTGAGAGGGTTTTTATAATGCCCCCAGCGCTTTGTCATTGGTCCCTATTTTCCGGGCAAGATAACCATTTCCCGAAGAATAGGTAACTACCAAAAATAGCCGTTGGGACGGACAGACGTGCCCATAACTAGCTGTTGTGACAGGAAGGGGTACAATTACGGGCACAAGCGTCTTGACTATTTCTGGATGGTGGAACCGTGCGTGACGGGCAGAGACTAACGGGGGAGGAGTGTTGTGTCCAAGGGTAAATTGGTCAGCCTCCCTTGCATGAGGGGCAAAAAGGTAAACTCTCCCCTAAAGAGGTTGGACAAAGCCAATTGGACCGTTCTGAGAGCAGAAGTGGATTGGGCCATGCCTAGCCATCGGGTCAGTCCGAAACAGTAGCCCCCCAAGTAGTTGCTACGGAGCATGGTAGTGACAACTTAAGGGTGACCTACTTCCCGGGAAGGGTCATCGTACGTTTCTTCGTGTTTGGTTGCACACTTGTCTGTGGCCGTTGGATCCTGGGAGCCCAACGATTAATGAGATCTGAAGAGTGGGGATGCCACGTACGCCTCGAGCCGTGTGTTGCATTAAATGCGTGATGATGGCTAGGCTAGGGTCATGATAATGCCCTACGCACGTGTGCTCGTACACGTGCTTGGTGCTTGCCTATAAATAGTGAGGGAGTCCGTTCATTCAGAACTTTTACTTCCCTCTCTATTTGTGCCCGTGTTTGCAACCTTCGTCCACTGCCGTTAATTCTGTTCCAACCACCGTACGATGCCCGATCAGAATCGTATTCCTTCCAGTTCCTCTTCCTCGACCACGTAAGTGCACTGATCCTCTGCTTGTTCTTTACTTTTCCTTGTTTCGATGCTTTAGATCGCATGTGGTTAGGACTGAAACAACTTAGTTAAGACGTGTTTAGTGGTGGCTGTTGGTGGTAGACGATGGCGCGACCATCTGTTTACTGTCGATGACGTAGTTGGCTTTCTTAGGAAAGGTAAGTTAACAATCCCTAGGCTCAGATGACTCGTGATATGGGAGACATAGTTGCGTCGCCGTTAGGTTGTCATGACCTCTGATGGTTTCCCTGTGAGGCCACTGGATTTTGTGGTCGGGGGCTATTCCCAAATGCTTTAGGTAGAACTATCGGGCACTTCCTTGTTTGTTTAGCTGCGCCATTTGAGTAGGGCTTAGGTCGAGGATGCTCTTTTTCGGCCCTTTGCGCACCATTTCACTTGACTAGCAGTGGAAGGATGGATTTAA